ATGATGGAAGAAAAGAACTCTACTCTCTTCAGAGCTTGGTAAGGACACCCGCCATTCACGAGAGCCCCATCTCATGACCTAATCACTTCTCCAAGACTCACTTTCTGTAATTATCCCAATGTGAATATTGATGAGACATAAACATTCAGTCCATTGTATGCAGTAAGCAGTGTGCTGTGGGTGTTTGGAAGCCAATTCCGACTTACACCTGTGAGGTGGTTAACTCGCATGCTAATTGCCTGAATCTGAAATTATCATCTTTTTTTTATTGTCCCAGCCTGCAAGACAGTCGAACAGTTTCCTGGAGGAGGAAGTGAGAGAAGGGACAGACACACACAGACACGCAGAGTGGAGACAAGACAAGGTGCTGATCATGTCTCATTTATTAAAGAAGAATTGTGAGCTTATATACAGGCTGGGGGGGACTGATTTGGTGTCTGGGCACCGATTGGTTGCCTGAAATGCAAATGAGGTAGAATAGTATGAGCCAATCATTGATGTGGGTGGATCTCTCCCTTTGCCTAGAAACCCAACCACCCCAGGGGAGAACAGTTGGTCACATGATTTCTGAAAAAAAAGGTTTGCTCAATGAGGAAGTGAAACCTAAGGTTTCGGTTTCTAAGATGGCAGATAGTTCTCAAGATGGCGGGTAGTTCTCAAGATGGCAGAGTTCTCAAGATGGCTTCCATACGCAATGCCCTCCACATTTTATGAAGAGGTTTTCGCTATAGGGTGAGTGTCCTCACCAGAAAGACAGAGACAGAGAGACAGAAAGTGAGAAATAACCACCACCACCACCACCCCTGGGGGGGATGGCCACGCCGCAATCCCTTTTCCTCCATTCTCCTTTCGGGATCCTGTGCATGTATACACACATGCCCCTTGTGTGTTTAAGCCACCAGGTCTGAGACTAGAACCGGAGTCGACTACATGGGAGTCCTACAACATAGCCATTATGCCAACTGCTGGTCCCCTGAAATGATCATGTTAGAGTTGATTGTTTACAGTAGAAAGCATCCTTTTCTCTGTAAACATAAAGAGTTTGTTAGTTGATACAGGGGATGGCAGAAATAATGAGACCAGTGGCCTAAAGTAAGTGGCTGAGGAAAATAAACAAGTCCCAGGTACATTTGGCATAAGGTACAGCAGGCCCAATTTTCATGGCAGTTGTGTTGTGTTCCAGAGACAGGGGCTGCTGTCCTGCTGCCCTCACTGTCCCCTCACTGCAGAGAGGTTCCTGCCCTGATCTAACTTCAAGGCCAGGGAACCTGCCATAGAAGCTCACTCTGTCCCCCTGCTATGAGTCTTTGACTCCCAGGACTGTCCCAAGATGCAGAAACGTTGTTTAAAGCTCCTACTCCTCCCCGTGTGCCAAGTATACACGAGGCAGAATTTAACTGAAGACAGAGGAGGCCAAAGAAGACCAGCAATGCTCTCCTCAGCTTTTCTACTTGCTAAGTTAGTTTCAGTATTCCAAGAGACAGCTGTGCTCTGTTTTTGTTTGCATCCCTAACACATTTCAATCCCTGCCTTCTACTTCAACAGTGAAGATTCCTTGAGAAATTGGTTCTGTGGGGGCTATTCAAGTGCAGGCTAATGGGTGAAAAGGCAGGGCTGGTGAGACAGGCTATAGACAAAGTCTGAGAAAAGAAGAAAGGATTTTAGCTGTGTCAACCCTGTGTGCAAGAGTTCACGTCGACCTGTCTTCCTACACATTTGTTGAGAAGGTACTTGAAATGTGTTTATTTTTTCAAGAATCCTGTAATTCTTTATGAACTTTGAAATATTAAAGAAGTCTTTTTCCTGCAGCTTTATTTTGTGTGTATGTAACTACTCCAACATTTGAAAACTTAATTTCATATTTTGTGGACAATCTTTTTACACTGCATTTATTGTCCTTGCCCTCACTTCTGGCTCCCTTCTATCTGTAAAGTGCTATAGCGGCTGGGAGTGGTGGAGCACAGGGCGGTGCTCTGCAAAGTTGACCCATGTGGGAGGTTCCAGGTGCGCATCTGGAGACTTCCCTGAGCATGTGAATGCCATTGGAGGCTGCTGGAATGGGGGTGGATCAGACTGAGACTCCCGCTGGGGCTTTCCATCTCTTTTTCTCTCTTTTTTTCTGTCTCTCTCACTCATGGAAGAAAGAAATGAATAAAACTTAAAAAGCTACAATTTCGTGTTAACATGATCACGTTCTCTCTGTCTCTGGTGAGCCATGTGCCCTATAGCTAAAGCAAACAATGAGAAAAACAACAAACATAACAAAACTCACTGAAAATGCTGCCCCCTCAGGCTGACAGAGTGTTCATACTCCTATTGCTCATGTGTGAGGGGAGATTGGATGAGAAAGCAGAGATTTTTCCCTGCCCCTCATTGCTCTTCAGACCATTCAGATGTGCAGGATTCACAACGTTCCTCTGATTGACACCAGTGGGTCTTGGGGGCTAGCTAAGCTGTGGGACTTCAGGACTTCTCCTGCTGGTATTTTTTTTTTTTTTAAACTGGAAAGTGATTACTTCAAAGCCCTGAAGAAAGAAGAACTGCACAGCAACTACATCAGAGAGAAGGAAGAAGCAGGGGTAATCACGATGCTGGTGTCTAAGGACGCTATGGACTACGTGCAGATTCTTCCTCTCTGTCATCCTGTGGGAATCATTTTCAGTGAGTTTCTTTATTGTTACTGTTTTTGGTTTTAGCTATAGGACACATGTGCTCACCAGAGGGAGAGAGAGAGAGTGAAAAATTACCCCCAAGAGGAGATGGCCTTACCGCAATCTCTTCTCCTCCATTCTCCTCTTGGGATCTTGAACATATGTACACCTGCCTGGCTTGATTTCCAAGCTGCCAGGTCTGTGATTCAAACTGTGCGGTAGGCCATGCAGGATCAAATGTCTTATCCTACATGCCACCTGCTGTCTCTTCAATGAGATTTTGATCCTCTTATACAAACTATGGTTTCATTTCAGCTTAAGTAGACAGGGCTGAAAAGAACTATGGGAACAGTGAGAAGTTTGCCTAATTCAGGCACTTTCTTTTTTGTTTTAAACATCATAATTGTGCTGGAAGCCAATGGTGGTGACTTCCTTTCTGGGTAATTGTCATGTGTGATAAACTTGAGAATCACAGAATGTCTGTGAGTGTCTGGGCCCTCAGAGAGAGCAGAGGCAGACTGAGATGAGTGTGTATGTCCTTTCCTATTTGGTGAATCTCTTCTGTCCTATCTCCTAAATCTATGTCCTTTATATTGAAGGCCTAGAAATTGGTGAATACTTCTGGGTATCTACCCAAAGGACAGGAGAATGCTTAATTGGAAAAGTGCTTGCACGTCAATGTTTATTCCAGTATTATTCATGACCACTAAGACATGGAACCAACCCAAATGTCCACAAACAGATAAATGGATTGAAAAAATGTGGCACATATACTCTATGAAATACTATTCATCCATATAAAGGACCCTGGAATTTGATAGAAAGTGGTTGAATATGGAAGCTTTATTGCTGGGTGAAGCAAGCCAGGCTATAAAAAGAAAGATATTATATGTATCAACTTAATATATACTGACTATCCACACTCTATTGTAGAGATTAAAATATTGGAGGGCATAAAAGCAGTGAAAATAGTTATGGATGGATGCTGAAGACAGTTTGGAACATGGGGGATGGGGAGTAGGGAAGAGAATAGAATATGATAGCACAAGAACAAATAGAGAACACAGAAATGGCTTATTACTTGTTGATGATATTGGCCTTGAGGATGCATTGACCCTACACATAGCAACTCTGGAGCCAACAAGTTGCCCTGTGGCTGTGCAGGAGAGCTCATATTGCCCACCTGCCCCTTTCCTTATCTCACCCATTAGAGCCCCTGACCCAGCCTGAGACATTGGAAGTGATCTTTGATCATTGGTTCACTATCTTCCCAGGTCACCAGTTTCCCAACTAAAACTACCTTTTCTTTTCACCAACCCTTACCTCTTGACTGTTGGCCTTGTACATGACGGGCAGCTGAAATTGGGTTCATCACAATGTAATTGGATTACATTAAAAGGTTAAAGACGACACATGTGATAGTATTGTAATTGGACCAGATCCACAACTGGTCCAATTACAATACTATCACATGTCTTTTTTAACTTGAGTAAACAAGCCTGTAAGTTTCTCTTTTTCTTTTCTTTCTTTCTTTCTTTCTTTTTTTTTTTTTTTTTTTTAGAGGTTTTTTCTATAGGGCACCTCCACCCCCCAAGCGAGGCAGAGAGACAGAAAGTGATAAATCACCCCCCAGAAGGGATGACCATGCCACAATCCCTTCTCCATTCTCCTCTCAGGATCTTGGGCGTGCACGCATATGTGCCCGTCATGAGTTTAAGCCACCGGGTCTGGGACTCGAACTACAGTCGACTACATGGGAGTCCAGTGACATAGCCATTACACCAACTGCTGGTCCCAAGCCTATAAGTTTCTGTGTATGAAATTGCTAGACAAAGATATGTGTACTTAAATTTTTGATATGTAATTGCAATAGTTCATATCATCACTAGCAAATATGAGAGACTGCCTATTTCCCCAAATCCTTACCACCCAGAGTCCTGTCAGAACTTTATTTTCTTACCCATGATAGAGGCAAAACGAGAACAACTTTTATTTTTTAGTTTAGTTTTTTTTTTTTTTTTTTTTTTTTGTACTCCATAGGATGTGTATGTTCTCAAGAGAGTGAGAAATCACCCCCCAGGGGATGGCCGCACCAAAATCCCTTCTTTTCTCCTCCCTTCTCCTCTCCTCTCCTCTCAGGATTTTGGGCATGCATACACACACACACACACACACACACACACACTCAGAGTTATTCTCAAGCTGCTGGAATCAGAACTCAAAACGTGAAGCTGGGCTTGTGGGATCCAGCACAGCAAACTCCAGGCCACCTGCTGGCCCAAGGACAATTTTAATTATTAGTAAAATCAGGCATTTTTATTCTCTTATTTTTATCTATTTAAAAATACATTTTTTCTCACTTTTCACTGGTTTAAAAGAACTCATTATAACATTAGTGAACTCTGTGAATATAATATAAATGATAAATGTTTTCTTCATCTAGCCATTTGTCTTTTCACTTTAGTTAAGTCTTTTACATGAATAATTTCATGATCTAATTTGGCTTCCACTATTTAAAATTAAGTAATCCAATCATAATTAAGTTGGTTAGTTTGTTTTTTGACTGGTAGGCCCTGTTATCCTTTGTAATTACTTTATATTTTTTAACTTTTCTTTGATGAAAAAGCTATTACACATATATTTAAAAGTGAGTCATGCTATTGAAAAAAAAGTCTCATTTAATAACTCCCTCACTGGGAATTTTGAGTTTCTTTTAAACGTGAACCGATAAATTTGAGCCCTAAACCAGCCATCTTAAGATTTAAAGGTGCTACTGCGATCACTACATTGCCAATTTCATCCAGGATGTGTGCTACAGTTGAGAAGTCTGTTTGTTTTCTTTCTTTCTCTTCTTTTAGTTGTTTTATCTCTTTTTTTAACTCCTCAGATTTACTTTCAAATCCTTCAATGAGCATTTCTCTTTGGACCTATAAGAGAGGTAAACCCCCAACAGTAAGAGTCAGAGTTTGTATGTAACAGCTGTGGCAGTTAAACACCTGAGTCTGTTTCTCCACCGTTTTAGTTCGCTCTTTGAGAGTTTTTCAGTATTCCCAGTTTGGACCTGAATTGTGGGAATAGCCATGGTATACACCTTTGGGAGATTCCTTGGTACCATCTCACTAGGGGTGAGAGTTTTGTTTCATGGCAACAAGTGCCCTATGGGAAGGAATGCAGACTGAATTCTCCTTAATTCTGGGTTTCGCTGAGGTACCACAGCCAAGATTATCTCACAAACAATGGGACCTGCTGACGCTGTGTGAATACAGGTAATCAAGCTGCAGGTTAGGACAAGAATCTATTTCACTCTAGTTGTATAGGATATTTCAGGCAGATATGGAAACCAAAGGAGCACATTTAGAGTTTCCAGCTTCCTTTATTTCATATCTGCTCAGCTAAATCAGATGCTTTCAGACCAGATGGCTGTATTTCAGGTCCCTTTGATGGTTGTGCCAAGAACTAAAGGGCTAGTTGGAAGAAGGTCTATTTAATGAGGGCATAGCAGGGCCATCCTCTGATCATGACAGCAGCCCAGCATGCAGGGGGACGCCATTTGTTCTGTCCAAGGTCTAACATTGGAGAAGGTTCTGAGGTCTTGTACATTTACAGGCTTCAACAGGTTCCAAAAGTATCTGAGTTTTCAGTGAAATGCAAATATTTTGGTTTTCCCTTCAGAATCTTAAGCATGCTCAAATCTGGGCTCTTCCCTTCCAAAATAATTAATACAATGTCCATCAGGCGCTGCCTGGGCCCTGTCCAGACTTACCCGCATCTTGTGTTCCAGCACCCTGTCCTGCTCTCTCAGGAAGTCTTCTTTCTCCCTCTCCAGCTTCTCCTTCAGCTGGTGTACGTGTTCCTGGTGGCTTCTCTCTTGAGCCTCCAATCTTTGCTCCTGCTCTTTCTGTTTCTGTCTTAGCAGCTCCTGTTCCTTCTCAGCGGCCTCCTTCTTGGCCCGCTCCGCTGTTCCACACATGTTTTAGAGAGGGAAGAAAACAACATCCAGGCCTAAGTTCCACCCTCTTGACTCAGGGACAAACAGACTTTGATGAGTGAATGGGAGCAGAACTAACAGACAGCATAATGTTTACATCATTGGACTCCCACATAGTTGACTACAGTTCAAGTCCCAGACCCAGCAGCTTAAACTCATGGCAAAAATCTCTCTAAATAGAAAAAGTGGACGGGGACTCTGAATTCTCCTGGACATCCCACTATCAAGGGCTTGTTCTACGATGTTATTAGAAAGGCATCTCTCCGACTAGTTGATGGACAACCACAGCTGTCCTCATAATTGTGGCAGAGTATGTACTCTTCAGAAGGAGAGGGAGGTTTTTCTGTAAAATTTCCCATAGGGTATTGCAGGAACCTACCCATCCTGGGTGACTCAAACTCTGTCCTGTACCTGCTATGACCTTCTCTCCAGCAGTTAGGGCTATGTCTGACTGCAGGATGGAGTCTTCCATTGGTGCCAGCGACTGCAGGAATTCCTGGAGTATATCCTTTGCCTAAGGAACCGGCAAGGAGCAGAGAAATGTCAGGCCTTAAAGTTCTAATTCCTTCCTGGGGAAATCATTGTTCTACAATATCTGAAAACTGACCTTGCAAATTGTAAATCCTGCATGGGATCAGTGCTTCATTTTCACCTGTGGCCATGATTCCAAACTCTTTGTTGGACATAAAAACCTTTCATAGCAGCTCCTTCCTACCTCCAATTTCCCATTGAAACCTTCTCTAGCTCCCAGATTACAGTCAACCAGATTTATATGCAGTTCTAAAAATATAACACCTACCTTGGTTCCTTATGTTTGAATAGTGGATTTTTGTGTTTGTTTGTTTGTTTTGTTCCTTTTTCTTCTACTTGGAGCCTCTTGTATCCTTTCTTCATTAGGGTAACATCTTTTGAATAGTTCATCTAGGGCTTTCTATTTCATATTTTTGGATGTGTTTCGAAGTTGACTTCCAGTTGGAAATAGCTGCCAAGCCATCCAAGTTGTGCTATCTATCAGCTCTACCTCTTGTGGGCTATGTGACCTGGGGCAACTTGTTAACTTCTCTGGGTACTGCATTTTTCACCTCTATGGTATGGACAATAGTAGTACCTAATTCATATTTTCTGAGGATTAAACTGATTGTCCAAAAAAAGTACCAAATTCCATCCTTGATTGAGGAAGTAAATGCCCTGTATGTATCATGTGTACCCATGCCTTTTATTTTCTATAATACATTGACATCCTAAGGTGTTGCTCAGAGAGACTGCCTCACCAAGATCAGCTAATGCCTAGAGATGACAAACAACTTGCATGTGAGTCACCTTTCATATTCAAACCAAGCAGTCCATAACATATACCCTCAACCACTTCCTTCATGTGGCTTTTATAACCTGGGACACTATCTATTTACCCCAGGATCAGGTACCAGAAAACTAGCACAGCTCAGAGCTCACTGAATTTATTCGAACTAGCCAATCTTCACCCTGTTCACTAGGCTTTGCAGAGTCCCTCTTGCAGAAACCAAATAAAGCCTCCTGCCCATAATTTCCCCCAGGGCCCACCCCCTCCTGATCAACCCTACTACTTCCCCAGGGGGTACCCGAGGTGTATTGTGCTCCCTACACTTGGGGTCTGTGAGTTTGACAATCTTTTCCATGGCATGCATCTCCTGAACTATTGGCCTTACCAAACCTAAATAATATCATTAAAACCTATCCCCTCTTATCATTATTATTACCATCATTATAATCTTTATTTTTACTATCTGTTCATTTCTGTATGAAAATACCTAATACACTGAATATAATTAGCTAATCATTTGTCTGTATCTATCTATGGTCATCGGCATTAAGACTAAAGGTGTGTCTTTAATTTTTGTATTCCTGTTCTTAACTCAAAGGCACTCACATTGTGGGCCCAGCCATGATGGCACAATGTATCACCACTCAGAAGGTTGGAAGTCTCACAGAAGGGGAAGGGTGACTTTGCTTACCGGGCCAATGTGAACTGCATGAATGACGTTATGTTCCTGTAATTCTAGCTAATAGGCAGGCAGGGACAGGAGAGCCATTATATAGCAAGACTATCAAAAATACCTACCTAATTATCTTTCATTTTCCCTCTTCATCTTTCTCTCCCTCTATTTCTCTCACAAAAGAAAAAAAATTCGTATCATTCAGTAAAACAAAGAAATGTTTTTCACCCAGGATTCTCAATAATATACCCTCATTTTGGGAAGAAATGGGGTGATCATTTGGTGATGTCTTCAAGAGATAAAAGTAATTGCAGACACAAAACCTAAAAAATGTTGAGATAAAGCTTTGCTCTGATATCTCCCCATAATGGCTTCTGTGCTCTCAGCCTCAGAAGGAGCAGATACCCCTGTGATTCCATTCTACAGTCCAATTCTTCTCACCTTAATTCCTTTGTTGGGCACTTGATTATAGGCACATTCAACTTCTTTCTTTGCTTCTAAATAGAGATCATACCCTCCAGGAACAGAGAAATTTCCTCCTGAAATGCTTTTCATCATAGGCTCTGAAAGATGCTCAAGCTTAGACTTGCAATATTTGATAGATGCCTCTTCATTCTGCAGCAAGAAATCTTCCTTCATTTTCTCTATGATGATCTGCCAGGGTGATATAAAAATATAAGAGAATGAAGCTGTTTGAATGCATGGCCAACTTTGCCCCTCTTGGAAGAAGCAGTCTGACAGCCAAGTGGACTAGGAAAGGACCAAGAGCCAGGAGCATCTTATAGTCCAATTCTGATCAATTCTCTTTGTGACCTGTGGGCTGTCCCTTACCTTCCTTAGGGCCAGCCTTATCATCTGCAAAATGTTGGGGTTGGGCAACACAAAATGCATGGTTCCTTCACCCATAGTATAATTAACAGTGGTCCAGCTATTAACAAGTCTCATGGAAAATATGACTGTAGCAAAAGTAGTGGCCTCAAAGAACATGGGTTGCTCTGGATGAAAACATGTAAATAGAGGGAACAGCAGATAGCATAATGGCTATGTCTCTGGACTCCCATGTAGTCGACCGCGGTTCAAGTCCCGGACCCGGTGACTTAAACTCACAACGGGCACATGTGCGTGTGTGCCCAAGATCCTGAGAGAAGAATGGAAGAGAAGAGATTGCGGCATGGCCATCCCCCCTGGAGGGTGATTTCTCGTTTTCTGTCTCTCTGTCCCTTTCTGTGTGTCTGGTGAGCGCGCACGCCCTATAGCTAAAAACCTCTCAAAAACAAACAAACAACAACAACAACAAAAAAAAAAAACATGTAGATAGAAAAAGAGGACATCAGCAAAATGGTCAACTGGAGGTATTAGACACAAAGACTGCTGCTTAAGAGGAGGGAAGGAACACCTCACCTCTGCCCCTTGGCTCTCCAGTGGAGATTAGCACTGTACCGAGGTGAATTCCCCATGCTAGGGAGAAATGAGCAGGAGGCCCCCAGCATCCTCCACTACCATGCTAGTCCCTTGCATTCTTTGCTACTAGAGAGTCCTGCTGTCTTCACAGATCTGTGCCCAGTTTGGAGACCACAGGGTTGTCCTGCTCCAGAGGAGCCCATTTTGCGTCCTACTACCATAGGGCCTAACCTGCTACTGTGCTGTGCCATCTTGAAACCCAAGCCCCTGCCAGAGTGCATCTTGCTCTCGGACCACTAGCTACTGTGCCTCTGCATCCTGAGGCTCTACCCTCATTGCACCATGGTTGCACAGAGAGTATGCAACTCCCTGCTGAGCTGTTACAGTCCCTATCCCCAAGGGACACCACCTTGGAAGCCCTCCATCTCCCATCCCAATTGCTCCCAGCTACTGGGAGCTGAGGGCTAGTGGAACATCCAATATCTTGGTGCCTTCAAGCCCTTTTCTCTCCCTTCTTCCCACCATCCTCCAGGAACAGGCCATCCAGCCTATCATGACAATATTGCTCCCTAGGCACTGCATCCTGCTTGGTGCCCTGATTCTTCTCCCAAAGAGGATTTGAGTGTGTGAAGACACAAAATTAAATTTTTTTGCTTGTATTCATAAATTACGGTGCAACTGGGTTTACTCAATATGAACTAAGAGATTTTTGTCAATTTGGGCTGGTAAAATACAGACTGAAAGACAGATGATTAGTGAATATACCTATGGCAAGCAAAATTAAGGTATTCCCCCAGTTTTTCACCCCTGGTTTCCACATCCTCCATAGTTCCTGGGCATGGTAATATGATGAATTATTCTCAAGGGTTAGATAATGTTACATTAAACAAATTGACTTTAAGAAATGGAAATTACTCAAGTGGGCTTTACCAAATCTCATAAACTCTTAAATACAAGAAAATGTTGTTTCTCTCACTGGTGGCAGAAGAGGAAGTCAGAGAGGAGAGGAGTTTGATAGCTACTGCTGGCTTACATATGGGGCAGGGTCTTCAGAGCATTCAGATGGGGACTAAGCCATAGATACCTTGTTTCAGATGGACCCAACAGAGCCCTCACACTTGAAATGGACTTCTGATGTATAGGGCTAAATTTACTGTAGTTTATTATTCAGTGATAGAAAATAAATAAACTGACCATCTTTTTTTTTTTTAAAAAAAAAAGGTGAACTGTAGTCAAGGATAGCCCTTTAATAAGAAAGAAGCTTCCTTCTATAGTGAGAATGAGAAGAAGCAATCAACAAAAAGGTAGACTCTAAGCATCATCCCAGAAGGGCAAGGTGAGTAAGGGAAAACACTAAGACACAGTACCACAAGCTCTTTCTGGAACTGCTGGTTTTCATCCTTGAAGGAGAGCTCCATGAAGACCGCAATGGCTTCCTTCTCACAGGCTGCGTGCACGTCCAGCAGCTCCTGGAGAGTGTCCGTGGGGAGCCTCAGTCGCTGGGCCATCTGCTCACGGTAGTGGTTGGCTGCCTTCTGCACAGCTGCCGAGTTCTCGCGCTGGGCCAGGGTTGTCACGGCGTTCTCCAAACAAGGCACAGCGCCACTGTTGATGGCATCCACGTAGGTCACCACCAGAGTCGCCAGCCCTGAAGGATGCATAAAATTCATGGAATCAACAGAGTTTTCACTTGGTGTTTATAAGTGTTATGGATCAGCATCCTATAAATCGCATACACACACAAATCTATGTTACTTGGAATTTTTCTTTTTCTTCCTTCTTTTGCTTCTTTCCTTATTCTCTCTAATATTCCCACTACTGTTTATTGTGAATCAATTTTCCTTCTTATAATATCACTGTGGTCCCTTTTCACTCCTACTTTTATGGTTCTCCAATTCATCCCATTACACAATTAAATTGCTGAACACAAGAAATGTGTTTAAGGATTTCTTGTAAACATACCTTTTCATTTAAATAAAATTTAAAAGTGATTATTAACCAGGTAAGTAAATTACATAGTTTGTGGATCCTAGTTCTGGATGTAAATGCAGGTCTCCTTATTTTAAAACTTATCAAGAATTTTGAGACAGTGGGGGCTGGACAGTGGTGCAGCGAAACCTCCCTGGCTATGCTGGGCACACACTGCTTATGCTCCAGGACTCCCTGAGGATGGGCCTGGCTTTCTACAGTGGTAGGCCCTATTGGAGGTGCTAGCTCTCTCACTCACTCATGCAATAAATAAATAAAATATTTTTAAAAAAGATTTTGAGATATTGGGCATTAATCTCAGCAAATGACTCCTGACACTGGGTGCTATGCTACTGCATAGGTCACAAGTTCCTGAAGCTAGCTGTGCATATGAGATTTTATTGCATCTTGTATTTCAAAATCTCAGTGGCTTGCAGAAACTCATGGCCTGTTATTTATCTTCTCTTTTGTGTGAATTCACATTATGTTTTGTGTACCTTTACTGAGAAAAATATCCATTACTTACACTATAGAATCTCATCTAACAACACAGATATTATCTCCTTAATTGTTGTTTGTACTCATATGGTTAGTGTGCATGTTCTGTAAGATATAGTAGGCTTCAGTAAACACACAAATAGGCAAAGAGACTCACGGTTTCCAGTGATGATAATTCCCTCTCTCAAGTTCTTTGTCTTTGCATTGTTGAAAATATAGTTACAGAAATTTTCTGATTGCACCTGGAACTTAGAATCCAGCTGGTCTTCTGACACTTGGTCGATATGGAGTAAGAGTTCACTGTCACTTGTTGGCCGATCAAAGACAAAGCATTTCCGTTTTGGAAAGAAACGCCTGATGCACTCTCTAGTCATGTTGGAATTCTCGATTTTGGGATTCTTGCCTGAAGAATTGGAAAATGAGTGACTATTGAGAGAACAGTTTCCAGGCAAGGCAAATGGTCTTCATTTCTGAGGATCCTTGGATCACTGAAGTCTCCTGCACTTACACATCTTTTATCCAATCATGCACAATTGGATAAAAACTGTATCCTAATTTGTACATGGTACAAAAAAAAAAAAAAGCCATTTTTGCCCAGAGCAGAGAATCAAGGAAGGCTATAGGGATTAACTATTTAGTGTTATTAGTAAGTGCTTATAAAATTATCAACTAGTTATTATATTGTCAGAAATACTTCCCTGATATTCCTGTCCCATATCAGAAATAAAACATGGAATCATAAATAAATTAATGTAGGGCCAGCAGGTGGCATGGTGGTTAAGGCATTGGACTCCAACATGACTGACTGTAGTTTGAGTCCTAGACCTTGCAGCTTGAAAATCACACCAGGCACATGTGCTTGCATGCAAAAAAATCCTAGGAGAATGGAGATGAAGGGACTGTGGCATGGTCATCCCCCACCAGGGGAGATGATTTCTCACTGTCTTGCTCACAGTCTCTCTGTCTCTTCCCAGCAAGTATACATGTTCAATAACAAAAATCTAAAAACAAAATAAAATTTAAAACATGTTAGAATCAAGGACAAGATGCTGCTTGGGAAAATGTCAGAATGAAAACACAATACCCAGGTCAGTACAGTAAAGTATTTCTAAAATAGCAAACATTTACACACTATCTGAGTCGACCCTGTAGACTTGTTGGGACCTAGATCCAACATGCTGACTGTAGTTGGAATTCCAGTCCCACCGGTTTGAAAAGCATGCTGAGTACATGTAGGCATATGTCCAAAATCCTGGCAACATGGAGAAATGGAGGAGAAGGGATTGTGGGATTGCCACACCCCATTTGGGGTTGCTTCCCTGCTCTCCCGCCACCTCAATCTCTCTCTGGTGTACACATGCATCATCTCGCAATTAAAAACTTTGCATATCATAAATCATCATTAATAAACCTTATTTCTTTTAGCAGAATCCTTCAAAGAATAAAGTTCACCTAAAAATAATTTGAGATCTTACCACTTCTCTGTATCAGTTATATTGGACTTGATAGAGTGTTGTCAAAAGGCTTGTGTACTTATCAGTTGTGCAAAAATTTTCATCAAAAAATGAATACATGATTGAACCAACAAAAATGGATACAGCTTTTAGCTATCATCAGTTATCCACTCTCATGATTTGTGATAAATTCATAACATTGAAATGATAACATGTTGTTTGGGGAAACAAAAGTAAGAGGGTAATAGTATAAGAAAAATAAAATTAAGAATTGTTGTGACTCTTACTGGAAAGATAAGTTAATTTTTTTTTCCAGACCACTAGTGTATAAAATCCTTTCCTTGCAGGATACCCAGGCATTAGTGAACTATATGAAATGTGATTTTTAAATTAGGTCATCTCATTGCTGGATGATTCTGTATTCAACAACCTCAGATCTAATGAACTATTTTTTAAAAATAAATCAGGGGACCAGCAGATGACGTAAAGGTTATGTCACTGGACTCCCATGTAGCTGACCGCAGTTTCAGTCTCGGACCTGGTGGCATGAAACTCACAGCAGATGCATGTGTGTGTGTGCCCAAGATCCCTGAAGGAGAATGGAGGAGAAGGGATTGCGGCACGGGCATTCCCCTGGGGGATGATTTCTCGCTTTCTGTCTCTCTGTCTCTCCAGTGAGAGCACATGTCCCATAGCAAAAATCTCTCTAAAAATATAAACAAATCAACCAGGAGGTACACTTAATACATTAAAATGAAAAAATTTCAGCCTTAGGAAGTTATAGTGCTAACGGTAAGCAGGATATATTTTAATGATAATAATCATGTGATTCCATATCAGGCAATAAATTTTGTCGGTGGGTTTACATCCCAGATTCTGGAGATTTTCAATTAATAATATACTAAAATGGGTACCATGAGTTGGCACAATGGCTATGTCACTGGACTCCCATGTAGTCGACGGCAGTTCGAGTCCCAGACCCAGTGGCTTAAACTCACTCCGGGTGCATGTGTGTGTGTGTACCTAAGATCACGAAAGGAGAATGGAGGAGAAGGGACTGCAGTGTGGCCATCCCTCCTGGGGGGGGATTTCTCACTTCTGTCTCTCTCTGCCTCTTTGGCAAGTGTATATGCCCCATAGCAAAAACCTCTCAAATAATAATAATAATAAATTAAAATCATGGCCACCTGTCAGTCACCAATCACCACTATATGGGCCTCAATTTGGTCTCAAATGAGACTTGCTATGAGGTGATGAGTGACAGGACTTGGTTGATTCCACCCCCTCTGAACCTACCCCACCCAGACCACACTCTGATACCTTTAATCAGCTTCAAGGCATTCTCCAGGTACTCGTCTTCCGTGATGGGGTGTCCATCTAACTCCAGCTCCAGTGTTACGGTCCAAATAAAGTCTGGAAAGAAACTCACAAACTCGGCAGAGTCCTTTAATTCATCAGTTTGGGGAGAGGACTTTGCCCTGATTCGTTCTGAGAGTTCAGTCACGTAGCTAGAAACGCAGTTAAGGAAGGAGAGAGGTCCCGCACCAGAATTCACAGTTCTCCCTTAGAAACAAATTATACAACATTCTCTCTTCTGTGTCCTCTCCCCCGAACCATAACAACTTAGACAACAAACAGAAATAGCATCAGTTGTCATTCCTATAAACTCCATAAGACAGGGGTCCCATTCCTCGGAGGATACTGCAGCTGCTCCAGGGCCTGGTGGTTGATGGTGCCCATGCTGTTGTACACAAAGGTGCTGCTCAGGAGCACAGCCAGCGCAAAGACCCACAAGTCATTCTCAGGGTCACCCTAGAAAGCAAGGCACAGCAAAGGGCTTACGTTTACTTTTTTTTTTTTTTTTTTGAGGGTGTGTGTGCTTGCTGGAGAGAGAGAAACACAGTGAGAAGGAAAGTGAGAAATCACCTCCCAGGAGGGATGGCCATCCTGCAATCCCTTTTCCTCCATTCTCCCAGGATCTTGGGCATGCACACTTCTAGTGTGATTTTGAAGCCACTGAGTCTGGGACTCCAGTTTCTCAGACATGTGGGAGTCAAACAATGTAACTGCTGTACCATCTTCTGGTCCCGTTAAGTTTACTTTTTATTCATTTATTTACTTATTCATTCATTTGATTGCACATTCTCTAATTTAGTTGTGTATGTAGTTAAATAGGACAAACGACATAACATTTGAAGATAATGTTAAATTTGAACCATATTTTTGACATTTTCATTTCTCTCTCTCAGGGCTTCACTTCCTTTAGTTATTAAAGGAAGCAATGAACTTTGTGTGTGTGTGTGTGTGTGTGAAATACTTAATACGTTGCCTAGAATGTAGCAGCTGGGCAATAAGTGAGCCATAATCTTTTTGCAAATTATCTCCATAATGAGTTACACTGACACAAACAATATGTGATTGACTAAGACATGCATTTGGACAGTGTTCTAGATGACAGTCCCTGACCTCAAGAGGATGATTTCTGAAATGACAGGTAAAGATGTCAGCATAGAAATACAGCCAAAATAATAATCTCTCCTGAAATGGAACCAAAGTTACAATGTTTAAAAAAAAAAATGGGTGAGGAATGCAAAACACACACACACAAAGGGTGGGGAATGCAAATAGCCTGTAATAAGTACTCCGAGTTCAGAGCAAGGAGTTGACAATGACTAACTGGGAGAGGACAGCAATAAGTTGAAAACAGCTGGGCTTTGGAGTTGATAAATTGTGAACTTGTGGAGGGAAAGGTATCAGGCCAGTGCAAGGGGCAGCACATTTAACCAGTTGCTCCCATTAATCCCCCAGGCTTCAACTTCTTCCAGGAAGATTTTTCTAACATTCTTACTGGGTTAGGCTCCCACAACCTGCATCCGGATGTGCTTATTGGTCGCCTTGTATGTTTGTCTTTTATCCAACTAGGATCTGAACCTTTACCTACAGTAGAATGTTTGTCTTTTATCAACTAGGATCTGAACCTTTACCTACAGTAGAGTCCTGGATTTCATTTGCTCAATCAGTATTTATTAATTAGGATGATTTACCTAAGTATTAAAAATTAGAAGTCCTATCTATAATATTCTAAAGTATTTGAGCTTACAAAGTAACTAAGTTCACCGGAACAGAGCTTAGCTTCATTGCCCATAATCAGGTATGTAGTTAGCAGGGATGGAACACAGAAGTTGGAGTGAAGTTGTGAATTAAAAGGCAAACAGAGACTCAAGAACAAAGATTTCTTTATGACTCTCTGTCTTACCTTTTCTATGTCGCCCAGGCCCTCAGTGTCCAGAAGGACCAGAGTGTGGTTTGGCTTCAAGGGGTGGGGTACACACCACATCCAGATGCCCTTGGTTTCAGACCTCACTGTGGAGCCCAGAGGAAAGCCTTCATGGGAAAAAGAGAGAAGGCAGCATTCAGTAACAGGCTCCCCTGGGTTACACTGGCTGACTGTGGAAATGTAAGTGCTGGCAGGGGAAGGGGGTTGCGCCCATTTCAGCAAGAACAGCCATCCCATCTTTACACACAGGAAGGTCTATCTCAAAAGACATTTTGGGTCTCCTACTCACCCCGTATCGTAATAGGCTCAAACTTCATCATATTGCAAAATTAAATTAATTCAACTCGTATAGATTTACATGACCCTCAGGAGCAAAAAGCTTGCATTCAAACACAGAATAAGAAAGTGCTGAGACAGAGCTCCCTGTGTCTGCTTCATCTTCAGGTAGTGCCTCCTTGCCCTCCTCTGGGAGCCGCACTGAGAGAAGGCCATCTAAGTGGAGAGGATTCTGACATGGGGAGGACAGCACAGAGCAGTCACTCTGGTCCAGTCTGCTTGGTCTTCCAGCAGTGGGGTCATAAAAACTGAGCCTTAGGCTGGCCCCATAGTTCTGTGATTAATGGAGCTGGATTCCTCTGGCAAGCATACACACCCTATGGAAAAAACCTAAAACATAAAAATAAATTTTAAAAGACTGAAAATAAAAACAAAAACATGCCAGGCATCTGTGTAAGTTTACTTCAAATCTTGACAGGCTGGAGAAATGGAGGAAAAAGGATTATGGTGTGATCACACCCCCTCAGGGGTTCTCTCCCTCTCTGCTGAGAACAAGTGCCCACTGGCAAAAAAGAACTGAGCTTTGGGATCAGCAGTTAGCATAATGACTATGTCTCTGGACTCCCATGTAGTCGACCATGGTTCAAGTCCTGAACCTGGCGGCTTAAACTCACACCGGGTGCGTGTGCGTGCGTGCCCAAGATCCTGAGAGGAGAATGGAGGAGAAGGGATTGCGGCGTGGCCATCCCCCCTGGGGGGATGATTTCTCACTTTCTGTCTCTCTGTCTCTCTCTGTCTGTCTGGTGAGTGCACGCGCCCTATAGCAAAAACCTCTCAAAAAAAATAATAATAAAGAACTGAGCTTTGAAATGCATGGAGGAATCTGTGATTTAAGTCCTTGAATATGCAGTTAGAGACTGGATTTGTGAGACCATAAACATCAGTTAAATGTGTGAGATGGATGACAAAATCATGACTATTTCAGGAGTATTAGATACAGGGATTATTAAAATGTTATGTCCTGAATGAGTAAGGAGTATGAGTTTTTGTTTTGTTTTGTTTTGAAGTGAGATTTTTGCCCCAGGGTACATGTTCTCACTGGAGAAAGAGAAAGTAAAAAATCACCCCACCCCTGCCAGTGCGGGAGGTGGAGGGGATGGAAATGCCATAATTCCTTCTCCTCCATTCTCCTCTGGGGATTTTGGGCACACAAGCAGGTACACGCAGTGTATATTTCAAGCTGCTGGTTCTGAAACTCGAACTGCAGCCTACCATGTGTGAGTTCAGCACCTTGACCACTGCGCCACCTGCTGGCCCCAGGAGTCTGAGATTTTTAAAGGTGAGTAAGACTCAAGCAGTCCAATTACTCCTTTTGTATATAATGAAATGGAAATGCAGAAACTAAGTGGTTGGTGCAGCTGCTTAGACATACAGGCTGTACTTTAACTCAGTTCTCCTGACTCACGGCACGGTGCTCTGTCAGCCGCTCTGACCCTCTGCTACAGGGCAACTGTCTATCTATATGGTGAGGCGGCCAATTAGAGTGGGAACAGTAAAAAGGGAAATGAAAGGATTTGACAGATCTGAGAGTAATTGATGGGAGTGTTAGAGAAGAGAAAGCAGATAATGAACATGCCAAGGTTTTATATCTTGAGAGAAAGGGCTTTAATTTCCAGCACAGCAGATTAGATTTTGCTACCAGTTGTCTGTTTGCCTCCTCTTTCCTCCCACCCCCATCACCTTCACCGGTTACTGCTCTCCCCCCGGATGTTGACCTTCACTGCCTACATCATCAGAGTTCCCTTGGCTCCTGGTTTATGGTGGAGTTCAGAAGTGGGACCAGCAGGTGAACTGAAGGCAGGTATGTGCTCCCCAGCTCTCACCCTGCTGGCCCGCAGCTCTCAGGGGGTTGTTCCTCTCCCTCAGGACACAGCAACTTTCTTATAGCTCCACCCAATGGCTCTGGTCCTACCAGGTGCTGGTAACACTCTCTACTTGCCTCTTCTGGTCTAGGATGAGAGTTACCACTCCTCTATTTCCAGTCTCTGAATGCTTCTCCATCCGAGGATGGCACATTGTCTTTCCTATGTCCTTATGAACATTCCGTTAATTAAACAGTCTTAATTATCCCTTCTCCGGGACACCTGTGGTCTTCCAGGACCTGGACTCATACTTTAGCTTTCGTTTTATTTTTGCCTCCCCTTTCTCTTCTTTAGGCAAATTATGAATTCTGCATTCATTGTCTTAAGAGGGGGATATAAGAGATATAAACATAGAGAAGACCTGGGAGAATTATCCTTTCTTGCCAAGTTTTAAACTCACAGTTGAGAAGATTGGAGGACTATTCTTGGAAACTTATGGATAGTAGAACCTGTCCAACAAGCCAAGAATTTTACTACATGCCATGTGCCAATGCCTCTTTGAGAAAAAAAAAAAAAAGTGAACGTAATGAAATGTCTAAAGGAGCATGGTCCAGCATGACTCAGGCCATCAGTTCCCACACCCAGTGTTTTCCGAAAGCGAAAGTACAGCACCTGAGGCAGTCTGCAGTGTTTCACATTCTATCTGCTTGCTGGCTGAGTAAACCCGACCCCAGTTATCCAATTATGAAAGACAAGGTGTGATTGGAGGTTACCAGTCCCAGGTATGAGAGGCACAGCAAAACCAAAATAAGTCCCCCCAAAGAGAGAAGAAGCAGTGAACTGATCTCGCTCACTGACGCTGACTGGAAGAGAATCTCTTTTCTTTCTGTTCTTCGGATGAGAAATGAGGGTTGTGGGTCCCACTTCAGGTGTTTAAGACATTTTAAGACCAGAAACTCCTTTAGAAAGGAGAGGAACACCACTTCATTGCTGCTTGATGTTGTCTTGAATAGAAAATAAAAACAATTTTTCTAAAGCTCCATGACTAGTATCTGTCTCTCAGGGTTCTCAACCCTAACCCTTCAAAACATGGCCCGTGAATTTACTTGGGCTAGGCAAAGAAAAGTGTGCTTTCCTGATGGTGGTTAAGAATTCTCCTTAAAAAAGGTAAAGGCATATTGTTTGATTTAGAAACCAACAGGAGACTGAGGAACACAAAGAGGAGAGGGAGAAAGAGAAAGGGTGAGAAGGGAAGAGTCAGTTGGGGAGTGAAGGGGAGAGAGAGGGGGAGCGAGGAGAGATGGAGATGCAGGCCCAGGGATCCTGAGAGTTTAGTGAATTTAAATTCAACCTCTCCAGAATCTTAGCTTCTGAGCTGCAGGGGAAGTCAGCTTAGAAGAACCCGCATTAGCTCCTTAGAAACAAATTCCTAACACGATCATAGGCACATCGTCCTAAAAATCAGTAACAGCAAAAAAAAACAATCTGGTAGGAAAAAAATTTAAAACAGGAAATTCAAAAGGCAAGTAAGTACATGAGAAAGTATCCAGTGTTATTTGTAGTGAAACAAAAAACATGCAACTCTGCAGTGACAAAATCAGCAAAAGTTAAAAGGTCTGTGTCACCCCAAAGATGAGTATGCTCTGGAGATCTGCCCCACAGGACGCCTACAGCTGACAGCTCTGAGGATAGGTCTCCTGCTAAGCGTTCTTAGCACAATAAATAAATAAAGGCAGGGATGCAGGAAACTTGTCCGGGTGATAGCTATGTCTATTATCTTGATTGTGGCAAAGTTTCATGAGAGTTGATACATGTCTAAACTCATAAATTTTGCACATTACATACGTAAAAAAAATTCAAAGATACCAATTATATCTAAATAAAGCTGTTAAAAATGTGATGTAGTAAATCATATCATAGAATACACAGATTGCCTCCTTTCTGTTCATCTAACAAAAATCTTTGTAAGAGAAAAAGGTGGAGGAAAATCTAATATTACCCAATTTCTGTTAGGATGTGAATTCTCAGTTACTGATAAAAGCATGTAAATGACACAGAGCTTGATAAGTTGTTCAACACTGTCTAGAATAGCTGAAGACTCACATATTCTAGGTTCCAGGAATTCTGCTTTTAGGTAAATTATAAAAGGAAAGTCTGTGTACATGTGCACCAGGGTGGAAGTATAGAAAGAGCCAAGTCGTTATAATATGGAAGTAGTATAACAGCCAAGGTTGAAAAAGATAAAATGGATCTCATGCCAGTGTTCATGAAAGGGAATAGAGAAATAAACTGTGATATCTTGATACAACTGACAAGATTTTATTGTATATGTCAAAATAGCTAGCAGAGAGGATTTTGAATGTTCCTAATACAAAGTAATAATAAATATTTGAGATAATAAATATGTTATTACCTAATTTTTATAAATATACCTTGTATTCATGTATTGAAAAATTATATTATTCCCCATAAGTGTGTATAATTATTATTTATTAATTAAAATAATAATATAAAATAAAATGTCCCACTTACAAATAAAGTATTAAATAGAAATAAATTACTAATATATACAATAAACTACGTGAATCTTATAAACTTTTTGCTGAACAATAGAACCAAGACACCAAAGTATACATACAATATAATTTCCTTTACATACTGTTCAAAAACCAGGCAAACTATACTAACTTTTAGATGTGTGTACATAGAATGTAAAACCATGTTTGTAAAATTAATTTAATTTTATTCATTATTATTATTTTTTAATTTGCTATAGGACACATATGCTCACCAGAGAGAGACTGAGAGAGAGAAAGTGAGAAAGGAAGCCATAAGGTCCAGGAGTTGAACTGTGATGGAGTTCAGTGCCTCAACTGCTATGCCACTTGCTGTCCTCTGTAAAACCATTTTTTAAAATCAAGAGATAAAGAAAAGTCATGAAATCAAAATATTGGTGAGGCTATGAGATGATGTGATTTGGACTTATGGGTGTTGGTAAGTTTTATTTCGACCTTGGCCATCGTAACATTGATGTTCATCATTTATTTATTTATGTATTTAAGTTTTTGCTATAGGGCACATGTGCTCACCAGAGAGAGAGAAAGAGAGAGAGAGAGAGACAGGGAGCAAGGGAAAGTGAGAAATCACCCCCCAAGGGGGGTGGCCATCCTGCAATTCCGTATCTTTCGGTTGCCTCTCGAGATGTTGGGCATGCATATTCACTCAGCATGATTTTTAGGCCACCAGGTCCAGGACTCAAATTTCATACCTAGGCATTTGAAATCTAACACCTTAACCTCCTGTTGGCCCCTCTACTTCTATTTAAGAAAGTTATTCATTTCTTTTTCCCATGAGCAAGAGAAAGAGAAAAAGAGAGAGCTGGCACGACTGAAAGGGGTCCTTATGCTGTGACTGACCTCTAGCCTCAGCCAGTCTCAGTCATGGGCATAGCATGTCCAGCATGTGCAGGGAGGCTCCCAGATGCAAATCAGGAACCTCTTCATGTGGGTGAGCTGTGCAGAGTTGTGCATCACTGCTGCACTGTTGTCTGATCATGGTGCTTCATGCTTATTCAATTTATTTTACATCAGGAGCAGCATATGTTGTAGCAGTTATGTCACTGGATTCCAACATGGCCGACCGCAGTTCAAGTCCCAGAACCAGTGGCTGGAATTCACATCAGGTGTGTATGCGTGCATGCCCAAGATCCCAGGAGGAAAATGGAGAAGAAAGGATTGCAGGGTGCCCATCAACCCTGGTTGATGATTTCTCAATTTCCCTCTCATTATGTCTGTCTCTCTCTCTCCTGTGTGCACATATGCCCTAAAGCAAAAACCTCTAAAATGATAAGTTTATTTTATGTATTTTATATATTTCTCTGTATAAATTATATTTCACATTTTAGAACAAACTAAATGGATAAAGAGAAGAAGATATAATTTCTCAAAATTTTGCTATGAAATTAAATAAAACCGTTGGCTGGCAGCCCCGTTGAGTTACAGGATCTAGAGAGATCCTTCTGTCTCCCTGTCCTACCTCCCTTTTATTATTAAAAGCAGCACATTTAAACTACATATATGTGGTACTTTAAATAAACCTATATTTGGACAAAAGTGTTGTGAGAGAAAGAAAGGGAACTATTGCAGAGACCAAGCTCCAGACCTGGTAAGAGTAAATGGAAACAGAGAACTAAAGGAGTGAATCACTTGATAAGATTGTGAGGATTATTACTGGATCAACAAGTGACGTTTTGTGGAGAAATGGGATTGAGATTGTAAATTTGGTGGTGACGTTAGAAGTTTTTTCACTGGGAGACAAAGGGATCTTCTGTAAATGACTGTAGAGTAGATATGATCAGCTTGCATTTTCAATGGTTCCAAGCAAATGGTCCCTGCCCCAGGACAACACTCACCGTGGTTCTGTCCAGCCAGGCGGTTCATCAGGTATGATTTTCCTGTACGATACAGCCCTACAATGGCCACAATGACCACATGCTCAGATGTCCTTTCAAGAATATTTATTGCATCTGAATTCACCTTCAGCCTATTGTCCTCGTTTTCCACTAGACATATGGGGGCCATCATCCTGGGTCCAGTTGCCATGGTGACCTGCAAACCCAGAAGAGTCTTGAGTACAAGTACAAGTCATCTCTAATGCTTATTAAAGGAGCTTAAGCATCATGTTCCTGTTTTGGAAATGGGCATGACAACTTCCTGATTTTTTGTACACTTCTAAGTGAACACTATGTAGCCTCATAAGTAAAAGCCCACTACAGATGACTTCCACATGTTATCTCACTGATCCGGACAGGAACTCTAAAGGAATCTTGCCAAGCTGATGCATAACATGAACAGAATGAGAACAGCAAACAATTAATGAGGGAGGCTGAGGACACCAACACTTTGGAGGTAAGTTGAAAAGAATGGAATGCAAAAGAAATGAGAAGAATCAATCAATAAAAGGATTAGAATTTCTAGGAGAACTTGATCTTTCATGAACTCAACGAATGTAGATTGGTACCTGCCAGGTGTTGGCCTAATCTTATGTGCTCAGTACCAACAGTAAATATAATGGAACAAATTCCTGCCTCATGGCACTCAGCTAGATTAGAGATGCTGAGGGTGAATGGGTCTATATATGATTCTGAGGAAGAGGGAAAATGGAGGCACTCAACAATCTTGATAAGGACAGTGTTTGTGAATTGATGGGGCAAGAGCAGGATGGATGGAGGCATGACCGTAATAGGAGAAAGGGAGAAAGCATGCACAATAGCTCTGATGTAAAGACCTCTGCAGTGACTAGAGAGAAATAGGGTTCAATAGCTGACTTGCCAAACTGGAAGGAAAGGATATTTCGGTTGATAGGCTAACACGGAAGTCAGCCCTTTGTGATGGCATGGTCAGTTCTGCCTATATCTGACAGAGCCCCACATTTTGGTAAATCTCAATAAAGGGGGTGTTTCATGACATCAAGAGGCAGAGAGGAGCCAAGCAGCTTTAAATGTCCCTTTATTCTAAGATCATGCTAAGCAGCATACACATCCAACTTTCCTAGTTGTTTGAGCAACTGAAAACTTTTCATTCCTCTGTGCCTCAGTTTGTTTTAATATGAAATAAAAATACTAAGTAACTACCTCATAAGGTCATTAGGGAAATTAAATGTCTCATAATATTTATAATGGATTTAACATTGTGCTTTGTACATAGTAAAGCCTACAAAATTATTGCTTTGAAAACTTTAAGGTCTGAAGAAGGCAAGGACAATGGAATTCTAAATGAAAGTGAAAGACTAGCTTTGGAGGGAAACAGTTCCTTTACTGGAAATGGTGTGAGAATTAAAGGAGCAAGGACCTATGGACCCTTGAAGGATGAGGCAGGCAAGAAAAATCCAGAGCTGCCCTGAGATATCACAGCTCAGAATTTGAGTCAGACTGCCAGGGTTTAAACCCTGTAGGTCAAATCACTTACTGTCTGAGAGACTTTGAAAAAGGATAGTTCCCTAAGCATCAACCACCTTATTCATATTTTGCATGAAATAGTCATTCTTGCCCAATTCAAAACTGTATAGTCTAATAACACATTATTAACAACAATTATTATTTTTTAATTTCTAGGATTAATGTATAATTTCTACAATGAACATGCAAAGCCATGTGTGTTACTATATTCTGTAAGATATGAATTATCAAGAAATACCTAATGTAGAAAAAATGTTTAGTAGAAAAATATCAAGTCAATTGATTTTACAATGTACCCTGTACCCCTTAATATGTACATCTATTATAAGACAAGTATAAAATAAAACTTTAAAAACACACACATCGACACACTCTTCCTAGGAAGGTCTCTCCTTTTTCACTGGTTAGTGGAGCAGCGCTGGTGCGTGGAGGGGACGTGAGCCTTTTACTGTGTGATCAGAGTAGGAGGAAGAGAATATATTTTTAGGATTAATATTAAAATGTTTGGAGAAGTGTTCTGGGTTGAACTGCATTCCTCTCACATTGATATGTCTAAATGTTGACCCCAGAACCTCAGAATGTGACTGTATTTGGAAATCGGGGTTCTGAAGAGATTAAGGTTAAAAAAATTAAGTTATGCGAGTGGATCCCAATACACAGCAATGGATGTCCTTATGAGAAGAGGAGACGAAACTGCAAACGGGCACAGAGAGAAGAACATAGAGAGAAAGACCCGGGGAGACAGCCAGGCACAAGGAGAGTCTCAGGAGGAACAGCCGTGGCCACCTGTTGATCCTGGATGTCCAGTTTCTAACTGTGAGGAAAGGCCTCTCTGCTTCTGGGAAGCCACCCAGTCCCTGGTACTTTGTGAAGACTCCCTGACAAACCAGACAGGGGGACATGAGCTGAAAAGTGTTGGTTGTCTTGTTTTCTTTTTAGTTTTGCTTTTTAATGCCACTGGAGTATTTAAGCCAAGAGGCTTTAGCTATATTTAATAAGTAGGTCGGGTCCTATTACATCCTGCAGATGATCAACGGTTTCCAGAAGTTACTGGCCATGACAGTCATCCCTAGTGACAGCTGGTTATGCCCCTTCTTCCTGAGTCTGAACTTCCACAGGTCACTCACTGCAGTTATTCCTGGACCACACAGTTAGAAACAGTGCAGGACAAACTTAAACTGGAGGAATTTCTAACAGTTCATAAAGGAGACTGACTTATCCCTTATAAAAAAAACACATAGTATCTACCGATAGTAAATACGAAGGATAACAAAAATAGCAAGAGAAAGTTTTTTAGGATTAAAATTGTGAGACTTAACCTGAAATTCCATCTGTTTCTCCAATGTGGCAGGGGGTTGTCAGGAAACTTCTGAGGACCCAGAAGGGAGGTGGCAGGGGACACCCTTACCCAATGCCTCTCTCCCTGAAGGGACTTCAGCCCCTTGTCCACAGAGGAGTGTGGGGTGCACTGCTCTGCACCCCACACAGAGCTCTTCCCTGGGGCCCTGGAAATTGCACAGGGACAAGAAAGCAACCCTGGACGGAGTGCATGCTGCTGCGGCAGCCTCACAGCCACCTCTGGGCCAGAGGGAGACGCTGAGCAGCAGGGAGTCCAGAGACCCGCGGGTCACCAGGCTTCGGGACACCCTGCCTTCCGGACACCCTGCCTTCCAGCCTCTCCCTGCCTCCACCCCCTTGCAGGGTACAGTCTGAGCTTGGAATCTGTTGCGGCTTAGTCAGTCAGTTAGGGGAAGTGGGAGGGGAACACAGCTCAGAACTCACCTGGCTTGAGCGCTGCTGCCAGGGGACAGGTGCTGAGTGCTGGGTCACGCCTGGTGCTCTCCTCCTGCCTCGGGCTCCTCAGGAACACAGTGCTCTAAGAAGCTGAAAATCAGTCAGAAGATGACAGCAAGGCTGTCTGTTATAAGTTGAGGAGAACCGAAAATGAAAGTGCACTTCTTTCTTGCCAAGTTGACTGTTGAGGTTTTGCACTGCTTCTGAGAAGGCAGGAAAACAGACTTTTGTGAGATGAGGAGGGAGGAAGGGACCCCTTGCCCTGCACACTTGGTCTGGTAGCCTGGAGGCTGCTTCCCCTAACAGTGGGCTTGGGGGACCTTGGCCTCACAATTAAAGTTGAGCAGCAAGTGGGAATGCAAGCAAAGCAGTGGGAGGCTGCCAGTGCTTCCACAGCCTGTCTGGAGGGACCTTTGGGAAAGATGTTACTTGTTTTTATTCTTTTTTTATGTGATCATTTATTTTCTATTTTTTAAAACAATTTTCCATCTACTATGCGATTTAGATGTTTTAGTAATATCCAAACCCCTAATATAGCCTAGTGGTCCAGTTGTGATGGGCTGCATTACAGAAAACGGCGTATGTCAGGCTAAGATGAGCCCTGCAACTCTTGCTTGGCCCCCAGAGTGCAGAAAATAAGGCTGTGGGAACCTGCTCGCACGACAGGGTGTGTCTTATCAAATGCTGTTCTGCCTCTATAAACGGCTTGAAAAACAGATTGTGAGTAAAGAACTGTTTAGCAACCTTTGCAACCTTTGTAGCATTTTCTCCCTTACAGCACTCCTCACCCCCAACCCTTAACTGCCCTTCCCAAAAAACATGTAAGGGTCCCCTTGCGGTTTTTATGCTTAGATATTCTGCAAAACTGTGGGTCAGTGCTGTTGTCTTCTCTTCTACCTGCATGTAGTTGGGGGCAGCAGTTCATGGTTAGGGGCTGCTGACCCTGGCCAGGAATAAAGGCCCATAAAAATTCTAATTTCTTGAGTGGTCTCAATCCTTGAGTGTCTCGCGCCACAACACAATTGTGGGACGTACACTAGGAACCAGCTTGGATCCCTTGGAGCCAGTGAGACAGGCTGCCTGGGAATGGGGTGACAGCTCAGTTGTGGCCAGTGTGGTAGGCTCCATTCTATAGGTTTGTAGTGACTGTGAGGGTCCTTAAGCAGGCTCTTAGCTGTGCCTTAGATTAACTGTTCCAATGGCAGGAAAAGAGAGCCAGATTAAAGTAGGGTGCTGGAATCAGGAGGCCGTTCAAGTGTGGACACAGGTTGCAGTGCTACCCTCTGGGTTTGTGTAGACGCTGTCTCCAAGGATCAGTGAGAGACTTTGGTTCTTTCCATTCATTCTGTATCCACAAAGGCATTACTCAATTCTACAAGGTTGAAGCTTGACTCCTGCCTCATCTGTGATGTAGTCAGTAGGGAGAGGAAAGAGGGAACGTGGAGAAGGATCAGGTTCTCTGCCCAGACCCCCAAGTGCCTTCCACAACGTTCTGCCCCTGTTTTATGTTGAGTCTCAGTGGCACAGCCACACTAGAGCAGCTAAAGAGGTATCATCTCCAGCTGGGTTGCCATGAACTCACCTTTAATACTAGAATGATACAATATTTAGAGCTGAAAAGTCTGGTACAACTCTGAAGATAGAAGCCAAAACTGAATAACAGACTTTTCTCAAGTTCTGAAATTAAATTTGGCCAGCTCAAGCTGAGCTAAGTATAGTGGCCTTATATTTCCCGAGGGGCAGAGATTGCTAGAGGAGGAGCGAGAGCTCATTTTGCAAGCCTTAATAAATGGAGTCCCCCATCAGCCAAATAGGTCAAAGAAGTCTTTCTTTCTTTTCTTTTTTTTAGAGAGAGATTTTTGCTATCGGGTGTGTGTGCTCGCCAGAGAGATGGGAAGTGAGAAATTATCCTCCCACCAGGGGGACGGCCATGCCACAATCCCTTCTCCTCCATTCTCCTCTCTGGATTTTGGGCACAGACACACATGCACCCAGCATGAGTTTTAAGCCACTGGGTCCAGACTCAAACTGAGATTGACTATGTGGGAGTCCAGTGACACAACCTCTTTCTGTGACGAAGTGTTTAAGGCTATTTACTTCTTTATTATTATAAATTAATGTGTTCTTTATTGTTTAGATATGGAAGAAAACATATTAAAGTCATTCTCCCAGCTTCCATTGTTCATAATTGGTTGAAGAAAATACACCTTTTAAATTTACATTGTGTACGTCTGTTATGAGCACATGATATTGGTAAAAGATGGATTTTATTTTAAGAGAGATCTTTGCTATAGGGCAGCATGTGCACTTGCCAGAGAGACAATCTCCTCTTGGGATCTTGGGTACGCATGCACACATACATGCCTGGCATAGTTTAAGCCACCTATTCTAAATTCAAACTGCGGTTCACTACATGGGAGTTCAACAATGTAACCATTAGGCCATCTGTTTGTCCTGGTAAAAGATGGAGTTTAAAATGGCTTATCTTTCAGGACCAGCAGTTAGCGTAATGGCTATGTCGCTGGACTCCCACATAGTCGACCGTGGTTTGTATCCCAGGCCAGGTGGCTTAAAACTCACGCTGGGAGCGTGTGCGTGCATGCCCAAGATCCCGAGAGGAGAATGGAGGAGAAGGGATTGCAGCGTGACCATCCCCCCTGGGGAGTGATTTCTCGCTTTCTGTCTCTCTGTCTCTCTCTGTCTAGCTGGTGAGTGCACGCGCCCTATAGCGAAAACCTTCCAAAATAAATAAGGCTTATCTTTCCAAATGGGGCCAGGCAAAATATTTCCTGCCAAGTACAGTGGGACAAGGAAAGGCCACTCTGTCATCAACAAGGTGGTGACCAGAATACACCATCAACATTCACAAGTGTATTTCTGGCAAGGGCTTCAAAAAATGAGCTGTTTTTTTACTCTAAACCATCAGGAAATTTGCCGTGCAGGAGATGGGACTCCAGAGATGATCACTGATAGGGGGCTCAGCAAAGCCGTGGGCTGGAGGAATAAGGGGTGGCCCATACATTTGCGTGTGCAATCGTCCGGAAATTGTAATGAGCACAGATTACACAGATACCTATGTATCTGTTACCATGTCAAAAACTTAGACAACCATTATGGATGAGAACTGAACTACTGATTTTCAAATGAAGTTATAAAAATGCCAAAAATAAAATAAGATAAAACAAAACAAAATGGCTTCCTAAGGTAATATATATTTGAAGTTTGATTTAACTAAATGAGGTTTTTAAATTACACTTTATTAGTTCACTCCAGGAAAACCCATCTAGTACCCTCTTTTAGAATGTGTGCTTATCTGGCACCTAATCTACTCTGCTCTGGGGCCTACTGGAAATTCTCAGACAGGGAGAGTTTCATTTTAATATCCTGCTACACACAAAACTTTATGGAAAAAACACACATCTGCAGATGGACCAGAACTTCCAAAGAAGAACAAATCTGAATAATTTCATTTGAAATCTACTAAGTACAACTCTACAGAATTTTATTTACCTTTCCGTTTTAGAGGCTGAGAAGTCTAAGAGCCTTTAGTGAGGGCTTCCTTGCTGGCTCATAACATGGCAGAGGGTAGGAGCTAGTGTCTGCTTCCACGTGTCTCTTTTAATAAACCCACCAGGTGTCATTCATGAGAGCCCCATCCTGTGAATCTCATTTTGATGTGGGCAGCTGCACTGAGGTCTGTGCCAGGCCCTTCCCCTGAGCACTCCTTTTCCTGGAATGTAGGTGCCTGCTGGGAACTCACAGTAGCCCAAAGCTGGCAGATACTGACACTCCCCAGGTCTCCGAGAACTCACTGCCCTTTTCCCCTTTGAAATGATAAAAGCTATCTGAGGCCTCAGGAAAGCAGACACCCTGCTTATCTAACCCTTTCTTCTCTAAAGTAAACTTTGGGGTTCTTTCTTCTGGAAAGGGTACCCCTTGCCTGCTAGAGTTCCCCCTTCCCCCAAACTCCATAATGAAAGACTGTGCTTAACCCTCAGAGGGGGCCAGAGCTTTCCAGAACTAACTCCTCTGTACCCTGCGGGCAGTAACAATAAAGAGTAATTCCTGTCTCTCTAGAGTGTTGCTTTTTGTCCCTTAGCCATCTGTTTTTCCACAACATTTGGTGCGTTGGCTGGAAAGGGAAAATCAGACCGGCCCTTTGAGCCACCGATCCTAGGGTGATTCCCCCCTGGGACGAGCACTGTGATGTAGAGGGATAGGCGCTCCCTCCCCCAGTACCCCCCCATCCCCGACTTGTTTGACGGGATCCCTCAGCTGGGACGCTCACTGTCACTCGGAGTACTAGCATGCCTGGATTATGGCACTCCACTTGGAAAGAAGGACCGACTCTTACTCCAGACCTGGATGCATCGCCTATGGTCAACTCTGGTCATCTGGCAAGCCCCAGGGATCTATAGAGCCCACCAGTCCGCCCACTCAGAAAATGGGAGAGGAGATTTTTACACTCTCCTTCGGTCGTAGGACCCGCAGTCTGGACTCATATGTTTCTGGTTGGTCTGTGGCCAATTCTGATAATTTGGTATTTGCTGTAGAGTCCATCAGCCCACTCATGTGAGTGGAAGAGGAAGTTTGAACACTCTGCTTCAGTCGTAGGACACACAGTCAGGACCCATTCGTCTTTGGGTTGGTGTGGGGAGGAAATGCATAACCTCTGAGTGAATATGAACGTGACAAGCGAATTTGTTTGTGGTCTCACCATGCATTGCACTAGGAGACATGAATGGGTTTGCTTTCTGCAATTCCGTGGTGCTTCCAGAAAAACTAAATGGTGACATTACACGCTGAAGGACCCCTTCCCTCTCTACGTGTGTAATCTGGTGGGGAGGTTCTATATCCAACAGCCTATTGTCAAGGAAACATAAAGCCCGTGAGAGACATGGCCAGAGAAGATGCCTGAATGTTCTTCCCCTGGGGGAGGAGGGACACCCATCCTTCATTTGTTTTGCTACATCATTCATGGGAGGGAGGACACAGGGACAGCTGGGAGGGTTTTCCCTGTAGAGGAGGATAGGCAGAATAGATGTCAGGTCACGAATTTTGTCTCTAAAAGCTGAGACATGAGTTCCTTTCAACTCTGACAAAAGACGTCCTCCTGGAGCCTGTCTTAACTCTTCTACAAAGGCAACCCTGTGGAGCAAAACCTGCCCACTCTGCCTGAGAATGGAGAGGG